TCTATTATAAACCCACTCAGTCCAGGCACATTTTACAAAACTTTTCTTTCCCTGCCGGTACAAAAGAACACGTTTGCTCGACCGTGAAATTAAGTTTAACACCAAGCGTGACATTTTGCCTTTAAAATCAACAACATATCATAAAATATATAGCAAACAGACAAGGAAAGAATGCTGGTCCCAGAGTTAACAGATTACTTTCATCCTGTCGGGGTAATATTTGTACAATATTTTAGTGTTTATATCCAAGCATATATGAAACCTATAACCTACAATAATTTTCAGAGTAATATTTTTTTTTGTTTAATTCTCCATCATAATTATGCCACATGCAGCTAGTAGTACTGGGGGTGACATTTTGTTACCCATTGTGTTTTTAATTAATTACCAGGCTTCCCGCAAGTTGTCATTTCTGATAAGAATGACTTTGAAACCCTTTGTGAAGCTTGATTTTTAGGGAAGTGTAGTGTGTAAATAGATGAAATTTGCCTTTCAAATAATTTCATTTACATTCATACTGCAGTGGATTTTACTTGACGTGCAAGTGTTATCCTGAGGTACTTTCAATAAATCATTGCTGTTTGTTTTGGTTGGTTAAACATTGCACCTTGACTTAGCAAGAAGTAACAGGTTCACATGTTGTTCCGTTCTCACTGAAACCACAGACATTCTGCAACTTGCAGCAACTGCAATTTTGTTGTTATCATTTGGAGTTTGGATTTTTAAGAATATTTCTCGTTACGTGCCTGATGACCAATATAAATGATCTCAGTTATGAATGAGTAGTTAATGAGCACATGTAGTCTGTCACCCTTTCAATAGATTATTTTTTCACCCGTCATTGCAATTAAAATGACCACCTGAAAGTGATTACTTACAGAAAGGACCTTTTTAAACATCATATTGTGCACCATGACAACATCTGCATCAATAATCAACAGCAACAACGTCTAGCCGAGGTTAACCGCATCATAGCTAAATGAGAGCTCAAATTTAAAAAAAAAAAAACCTTAAAGGTCAGTGGTTTACCACTATGTCAAAAAAGTATAAAGTATACTGATCAGTATCTGTCACGCAAACTGAAAAGTAGCTGTACAGTGCGCTTTAATGATGCTTATTAAACTAGCAACACTAAATGCAGCCACTAGGCTATTTTGTAAATTCAGGTACAGTCTATTCCATAGATGTATTTGTGGTCGTTACAAAGGTCTGTCTACAAATAATACAGTTAAACTATGCAACAGTAAATTATGCAAGGTCTGCGGTCAATTTGGCTATTTATACCAGTATTAAACACAATTTTCCATTGAATTGAGATTAAAATGAATTCAGATTCAATTTATGAATTTGAACTAAAAACAGGGTTCAAGGACATTAATTAGAATTTAAAAAGAATGAATTTTCTGATGCAGAAATGTGTTTTTAGTGTGTGCATTTCAGTGGTTTTAGCTCAACTAATGCAATGCCCGTGCAAAATCAGTTTTTGTGTGTTTGGTATGTTTGAGTTGCTGAATAGCCTAGGCTACTATTACACAGGAGCCTAAACTCTGAGAAAACTATAACGTTAAGCGCACCAGAATAAAATATAATATTCAGAATTAAACCGTGTACCTGACTTACAGATTCAGTTAAATCGCTACTTTTTCAAAAGTGAATCGCTACTTTTTCGAAAGTAGTGAATTGCTACTTTTTCAAAAATGAATCGCTACTTTTTCGAAAGTGGTGAATCGCTACTTTTTCAAAAGAGAATCGCTACTTTTTCAAAAGTGAATCGCTACTTTTTCAAAAATGAATCGCTACTTTTTCTAAAAGAATCGATACTTAACCCGTTTAATCCCACCGGTCACAATTGTGACCGCAGCTTTTTTCTTATTTCTGGAAGCTCTAAAAATGTTTTCATTGACTTTGGGCAAGAAATTCAACTTTTAAATGACAAAATAGATTGTCTTGATTAAAATCAATTAATATCATGTGACTAGTGTGAAAGGTCACATGACCAGATCAGTTCACTTCCTGCTTGCACATCTAGAAGAAGATGTCTTCCTCAGACTACTACAAAAAGTAGTATTTTAAAAATCTTAATTTACATATAGAACTATCATATTTTGTACATATATTCTTTAAAGGGTCTACTACTGATATATTTTGAGAATTATACTCCTGCATATATATTTTGCTCGTAAGACTTGTAAATTTGTTTACGGTCACAATTGTGACCGGTAGTATAACACAGTGCTTCAATTGAAAACAGAGGTATTGGCTGGTATTGGCAGGTTTTGGCAATCCTACACTGAACATGCCACACCTGTGAGGGGGATGGATTATCTTGGCAAAAGAGAAGTGCTCACTAACACAGATTTAGACAGATTTGTGAAGAATATTTGAGAGAAATACCCTTTTGTGTACATAGAAAAGGTCTTAGATCTTTTAGTTCAGCTCATGAAAAATGGGGGGAAAAACAAAAGTATTGCGTTTATAATTTTGTTCAGTGTGAGTGTCCCAGAAACGGTCAACGTGTTGGACCTTCTTGACGTACGTGACCCCCTCACCCCCACCCCCACCCCAAATTGAAAGTGACTGTGATAGTGATGGCTCAGATAGGGAGTACCATGGGTGAAACAGCCCATTTGCCAAGTAGACTATTGAATGGCGATGCAGAGGTGAACTATCTGGAGGATTGGGCAGATGTTCATGAGAACCAATTGGTGTGCCCCACACATGACCACAAACAACCCTTTCTACAACGTACAGCCCATCTTCAGTGCACTGAATGAGTGAACACACATCTCCCTGAAACTGGCCTAGGACAGGGCCCAAGTGTAGTCATGGTCTAGCCCATACGGGTCTAGCCGAACAAGCAGAAGTTCCTCCAGGGTGTAACTTTGTACATGACAACCTTTTCACCTCACTAAGCCTTCTTCACGAAATGACAAAACGAGATATTGGATGTCTTGGAATGAATTGTTTCAATAGGTCTAATTGAAGAATTTGAATGAATTCTGACTATGTTGTTTCCCACCGGTCACTATTGTGACCGAGTATAAAACCTAATATTTTACTAACTTAACCAACATAAAATCAAAAAAGGCATAATGTTTGAGTGTTAGGGAGGTCTAAGGAGTAAAATGCATGTACTCAAGTTGCAAGAAAAAATTTGGGATTAAACGGGTTAAAAAAAAGAATCGCTACGTTTTCAAAAGTGAATCGATACTTTTTCAAAAGTGAATCGCTACTTTTTTCAAAAAGAACTTTTTCAAAAAGAATCGCTACTTTTTCAGAAAAGAATCGCTACTTTTTTCAAAAAGAATAATGTAACAAAATAATAATGTAACAAATGTATAATAATAATAATGTAACAAATGTATAATAACACTAATAAATGTATAATTAATTACATTGTAATAAATGTATAAAAGACTGTAACAAATGTATAATTACATTTTTACACAACTTTTTTCAAAAAGAATGCTACTTAAAAAAACGCTACTTTTTCCAAAAAGAATCGCTACTTTTTTCAAAAAGAATCACTATTTTTTTCAGAAAGAATCGCTATTTTTTCAAAATGAATCGCTACTTAAAAAAAAAAAAAAAAGAATCGCTACTTTTTCAAAGAACCGCTACTTTTTTCCAAAAGGATAATGTAACAAAATAATAATGTAACAAATGTATAATAATAATGTAACAAATGTATAATTACATTGTAATAAACATATAATAACACTGCAATGTATAATTACATTGTAATAAACATATAATTACATTCTAATAAATGTATAATAACACTAATAAATGTATAACACTAATAAATGTATAATTACATTGTAATAAACTTATAATTTCATTGTAATAAATGTATAATAACCTTGAAAAGAATCGCTACATTTCTCGAAAAGAATCGGTACTTTTTTACTTCAGAAGTAAACAGTGTAGCTGACTTAATGTTAAGCTGACAGAATGTTTACTTTTAAACAACAATTTTTAAACCACAACACTCTCTAATGTCAGAATGTTTATTTTTAAACCACAACTTCAATGTGTGCTTCTTTTACAGATACATTTAATGATATCTTTTGCATTTCTAATCCAAACAACGTCAAACTCGGCACTGCACTTACTCGTGCCAAGTATAGCAAGTGTAGCAAGACACCTGTCAAGTTTGAAATCCATCGGTCTAACAGTTCGAGAGATATTCGATTAACAGACAGACGGACAGACAGACAGGCACACAGACAGACAGATGTTCCTGTAATTTATAGCTAGATGTATTCTATAATCAACAGATTCAAATTAATTTCTGAAAGCAATTTGTGATTATCAGATGTTTGAGTAATATTTTTTGACATGATTGAACTTCAGAGAAATATGTCTGAATTTATTTTTCAGAGAAATAATATAAATGTATGTGTATAATTTGCTGTAATGGGTAATACAAAAATTTGAAACATTGCATGTAGTGGTAGGCAGATCGAAACAATCCGACACCCGTCTCCACGATGACCCCTAGTGGTCAGAACGGTGTAAATGCAACAAAAACCCAGGCCAAACATGCATAAAAACACCTTTTGCTATTTATTTTTTAAAGTAAAATCTTTCAAATGCAATTATCTAATCATCTAATAAGATTATCAAGTGTCTATATATTCTTTTATCAATTGTCAGGGTTTGTTTTGTTTGTTCACTTAAAAAACCCACAGGCACTTGTTCATTAGTTCTCAGTGACTCCTCATGATTCATGGGTTGACAGAGATCATCGCCCCCAGCGATGAACCATTGAAATTTTGTTTCGAAGTGTTTCGAAACAGTTATGATGTAATGAAGCCTTGTTTACTGAAATCACGTGACTCTGGCAGTTTGATAGACGCTCCGAACCATTGATTCGGAACAAAAGATTCGTAAAGGTTTCGAAGCTTCATGAAGCAGTGTTTTGAAATTGCCATCACTAATTGCATGTAGAATTCACTATCCAATTGATTAAGTTTAAGCTTTCTTTGTGCACACAGATTATGATGAACGCAACATCCAACGCAAGCAACTCATCATGTGTGATCATGAACCCGTCGGCAGGTCCCCTGCTGATGTCCATCTACATCATCGCCTTCATCCTGGGACTGCTGTTCATCCTGGTCACCATTGGTCCCATAATTCAGCAGATCTGCAGAAAGAACGTTCTAGGGATCTACCTTCTCAGCCTGTCTGTCTCGGATCTCCTGTACATCCTTACCATGCCTATGTGGATCTATTATTTAAGCAACAACCACAAATGGACCCTTGGCCAGGGACTCTGTAGTCTGGCTGGCTTCTTTTACTACTCCAACCTGTACATCAGCATCTATATCCTCTGCTGGATCTCCATTGATCGCTGCCTGGCCATCACCTTCCCTCTGCGAGTCCAAGCCTTCCGCCGCCAGCGCTACGCCTGGATCATCTCTGGGCTGGTCTACATTTTTGTCATGGCCTTGCACTGTTTGGTGCTGTACCTGGACAAGCTGCCAGATATGCTGGACGATGCCGACCAGAGGTGCTACGAGACCTTCCCCATGACAGAACGCATCGCGATGTTCAACCTGATACGGGTCGGAATTGGTTTCCTCTTGCCGCTGGTGGTCATCACGGTCTGCTACTGGTTGATCGCATCCAAGGTGCAGCAAAGTCGAGGGGTGGATGAGAAAGGCAAGCGCAAAGTCAGGCTTTTGTCAATGGGAGTCATTGGCATTTTCTCCTTCTGTTTTGCACCGTACCACATCCTCCTGATGATACGGTCCATCGCTTTCTTTTCTGTGGAAGAAAAACAAAGCTGCATCTTTGAGCAAGCGATGTATTTACCCTTCACTTGCTCCCTTGCACTATCCAGCCTGAACAGCGTGGTGGACCCAGTGCTCTATGTTTTAGCAAGTAACGGAGTGAGGGAGGACATGAGGTTGTTCTGTTCGAAAACCAAGCAGAGACAAGTAACAAGATGCACTCTTGTTGATTCCAAGAGTAGGACAAGAGTAAACAACTTGTGTTAAAACCAATCTCAGTAGATTTGCCCCTTACAGCACTGTATATTTGTGCACACTGTTTTTGCACCCATGCAGGAATTGTGCAAATCAGTTACCAGCACAAAATCGCCCAAACCGCTTGTGCTGCCAATACAGGCACAATCTTGCGGATGTGTTCTGATTGTTAAGTTTGTGGAGGGACGACAAACATGATCAGGCGTACTTTTCTGGAACTCCACCACTGCGATCCAGACACCTGAATTGACTTTTTAACATGCTGAAAGCTGCTCGACTACACTGCTCATCTGGATTATAATGCTTTTCTTTATCTTTCGATGAATAACTGCTAACATGACTGTAACGCTTGCATTCTGCAGGTGGTTTTAGGTAAAAAAGCACCAAGTTTTGTGAGTAAAGCTCATCTATAATAAGCCTAGTTTACATAGAACTCAATGACATGTACTGACAATACTGATGTTGCAGCATTTTAGTGCATTTAGCACCTGTTTAAACTGGATTGTGGTGATAATGCTGTTTTTGTGCTAAAATACTGTGTGCAAAAGGGATTGTTTAGTGAATTAGCCACTCTATGCAAGTGTTATAATAATAATAATATTAATAAATAATAAAACATCACACGGAGGGCATAAAAGCGCACTCAATGCACTTTACATAGAATGGTGGGGGAATCTCCTCAACCCCCACCAATGTGCAGTATCCACTTGGATGATGCGATGGCAGCCATATTGCACCAGAACGCACAACACACACCAGATTATGGGTGGAGAGGAGACAGAGTTATGAAGCCAATGAGTATATAGGTATGATTAGGAGGTCATGATGGACAGAGGCCACTGGGCAAATTTTGGATTTTTTGTGACCACAGAGAGCCAGGACCTCGGTTTAACGCCTCATCCGAAGGACGGTGCTTTTTGACAGTATAGTGTCCCGTCACTATACTGGGGCGTTAGGACCCACACAGACCACAGGGTGAGCTCCTCCTGCTGGCCTCACTAACACCTCTTCCAGCAGCAACCTGGTTTTCCCAGGAGGTCTCCCAACCAGGTACTAACCAGGCTCAACCCTGCTTAGCTTCAGTGGCAACCAGTCTTGGGCTACAAGGTGATATGGCTGCTGGCTGATTGAGGGTTTAGGGGACTACAAGTGTTGTAGTCGAGACCAGCTCAATTGTGTCAGTCAAGACAGAGACCAGGGACCCGAAAAATAAGACATGTTTCGATACTCGATATCGTGGCAATTCGGTCGGTAGCCTACTTGAAAAAAGTATCGAACTCAATACCCAGCCCAAACATCGGCTGTACACTATTGCGGTGCAATGTGGGATAGAATGAGTGCTATCCCACTGAATGAGTGGATTACGTCCACTATGGTTTGGATTCAGCCCAAAACTAAATTTTCATGGTCTTGGTCTTGTCATGGACTTGGGATCATGTGGACTCTGTCTTGACTTGGACTCAAGTCTCTTCTGGTTTCAGTCCTGACTTAGACTCAAATGAACTAGTCTTGACTACAACACTGCTGTCTGCATTTTCTTTTCTTTTTTAAATTCAGACTCAGTTTTGCCTATTAGTGTCCAAAAAGATAGGAATAATTACTTCACTGTTATATCTTAGATGGGGTATATGTTTACAAATTATGGATTTGCAGTGAAACAGGACCTGGATTTCTGTCTTTTAAGGACCCTTGAATCACTTGAACTTTCTGTTTGAGAGCCATATTCAGCCCAAGTGTTGTTGTTGTGGGATAAAGCAACACTTGTTTGTCCTGTTTAATTCACAGACGACTCCCTGTAACTTACCGTTAAAGGGATAGTTCACCCAAAATTGAAAATAAGCCCATGATTTACTCACCCTGAAGCCATCCTAGGTGTATATGACATTCTTCTTTCAGACGAATACAATCAGAGTTATATTAAAAAATGTCCTGGCTCTTCCAAGCTTGATAATGGGAGTGAATGGCTGTATGTTTTTGGAAGTCCATCAAAGCGCATCTATTCATGATTAAAGTGTTCCACACATCTCCGGGGGTTATTACACACAACGCAATGACGGCAATTGACACCTCTCACGGTTCGAAGAAACAGGGCTGGGCAACCGCGTTCGTCATTACGTTGTGCGTCAAGTTCAAGTGTTACTCTTTCGGTGTAAATTGATGCGTACGGCAGTCTGCCAGAAGCTAGATATTTTAGTCGATTAAGTTTTAAATATGAATATTTATCTTACACGAACGCATTGCTTCACTTCAAAAGGCCCTTATCAACCCCCGGAGACGCGTGGAACACTTTAATCATGAATAGATGCGCTTTGATGAACTCCCAAAGACATACAGTCATTCACTCCCATTATTAAGCATGGAAGAGCCAGGACATTTTTTAATATAACTCCGGTTGTATTCGTCTGAAAGAAGAATGTCATATACACCAGGGTGAGTAAATCATGGGCTGATTTTCATTTTTGGGTGAACTATCCCTTAAATAAGATTTAGCCGTTAAATATTTAATCTGAAAGATAAAAAACAACCTGTTGCAATGTAAGCAATTTCGATGCACAGCATGTTGCTACTCTCTTCTTTTGTATACTATGCTCAACAAAGCCACATTTTCACTCCTTTAACTTACCATTAACACAAAGAATAACAGTACATTTTACAATAAAAGAATTGCTTTGATTCTGACTCTCATGACACATTTAAGGAAGTGATGTTTTCGTTACAGCTCTTTAAATAAAGGTAAAACAATTCGCGTTTCATTCAAGGGGTGGGGATTATCTACTGACAGCTTAATCACAATGCTTTCTGAAGAGCAAGAGACCCAGTGTTCTTGAGCGCTGATGAGGAGGAGAGTTTGCGTTGCATCTCTAACCAGTATCGCCCACAATACACTTTGTGCAGTTTTGTTCCCCCACCTTCTGCTAGCATGATTGCCTCTTTAGATGAGTAGCTCTCATGTGACTGCAGTCTTCTGTAAGTCTGTGAGCTAGAGTGGCCTTATGCTCTACTGTAAAATGCCTCGGACCAACTGAACGGAGTGATTTTGGATTGCGAGCGAAGCAATGAATTGCAGCTTTGAGTACCTGATCTGCAGCCTGAATGGTTTAAATGACTATCACACCTGACGCCGCCGTGCCTTTCAAGGAAGATAAAAATGGGATGATATATAGTATCAGAACTTATTTTTTTGTGCTGTTTTGTGCATATATGGGCCAGAACATTTCTACAAGATGCACTTAAGTTAAGAAAGCCACATTCTTTCATTATAATAAACGTATTGCATCACAATTGAACTAATGTGCTATTCTGCATTGCACATTGAAGCTGCTACTGAGGTCTCACCACAGCAGGAGGTCTGGAGAGATTTAGACGAGAACAGCACAGAACACTGTGTCTGCTTTCCTCCACTCGAGCAATTGATTCGCACCTTCCTGAATGCAGACAACAGATGGAGGTGAGAGAGCACGCACATGTGGGAGGCGCAACCTGGCATAGCATCAAAATGCAAATAATTGATTTTGTGTAACTAAGTGTTGAATCTCACGAAAACATGTATGGGTCACATTTTCAGCCCCCTTTGGCTAGCGTTACATTATATGATCATGCTCTTACTCATGAAAATGCTTTTAAAACATTCAAGCGCGACAAGACAAAAGATAATGCTTTCTGTGAATGTCTTGACTCTTGTCTATGTGACACACACACACACCACACAGAAAGACGCGTGCGCCAGCATCGTGTGCACAGACATCGAGCCAAAATCGAGTTCTCTTTCACACTCGAAACTAATAACACACAATTATGCCCAAAATGTCAATTTTGTCGAGTACCCTCATAAGAGCAGTCTTAAATTAGTTAAATAAAGTCTTAAATGAATGTAAAGTGTTGTGAGAAAATGGGACTTGCGTCAAATCCACGTCATGTGCACCAGCGGCAGGTCTTAAAGTGACAGCAGCCAAATAAACCTCCTGCTGTGATGTCTGTCATTAATGTTGATCAATGAACAAATGTAACAGAGAAAATTACTCACTGCCCTTGACTAAAAAACGTTTATAACTTTAATAAAGATTGATCTATATTTATTTTATAATTTATGCAGTGCAGACTGTTAACTTCAGTTAAGTTCACAACGTAATTCCGGGAGGAGTGAACCCATCTAATCTTTCAATTAACTGCCGGAACATAGAAGCAGCCGCTCACCTTGCTCTGGCATCAGCTGTTTTGGCATCCCTCCACATCCTCAACTCCACCAACATAATTTAGGCATCTTGCTACCATACTCATCATCCAAGCATTAGTAGTCCCACTGGGGTGTATATCTAAGCTTGAGCTGAAGCTGCTTCCTCAAGCCCCTCCACTGCGGACAGCAAGCCAAATACACTAATACCTTATTAGCTTAAAGATTACATGGGCAAAGGAACTCGTGAATTCAATTTCTGTATATGTCCTACCTGTTAAACTGGTAAGAAGTTCACAGGTAAATATGACATTTATTATGGGTTTATGTGAGGATTGTTTTAAGTTCACTTAAATTAAAAGTTTTTTTTTTTTGAAGCCTAATAAATGTTAAAATTGATAGCTTTCATTTAAACTGTAATATTGAATGGCTATAATTAATGTTTAAAATTGGGGAAATAAATGTATTTCATTGAGACATCAGTAGCTGTATTAATATCATTCATAAAAAGATGCCATTAAACAAGTATTTAAAATATAGTGTAATGATGTTGACATTAATTTGGAGATTAACTGTGAAATTATTACATTATAAAATATATTAAAAACCTTAATGTTTGATTATGTGTGATTATTATGTGTGATAAAATGTGTGATTATTAGTTAATTTGTTTAATCAATTGACAGGACTAATATACGTATATATATTTATGAGAGGTGGGATGATTAGATGAAAAGCTGCAAGTAAATAAATAAATAAAACCACTTGAACTATTTAAATTAGCCTTCAAGAATTTATTCAACCCTTTCAATGACATTCTGAGAGTTAATCTAACTATTATTCATGTGGCATCACCACAGAGCTTGGAATGACCTTTTGGACTGAGAACCTCAAAGGGACATCTCAGGCCACACCAAGTGAAATTTATGGATCCAAAATAAGAAAAGAGGTTGTCAGGGTTGTTGCAGTTGGGATCATACACCTCATTATAATTCTTTCAACAAGTCAACCTCTTTGTTATTACAGTGCCTGCTGGTGAGACAAAGGGATTTTGGAATACATTAGTGACTCTGAATGAGACATCAGGAGATCAAATTTGTCTTCACAATAACCCAACTTTTTCCCCGTGCAGGCCAAGGAGTATTTGATATGGGATTGACAATTTATTATGCAGCAACAAGCAACAAAGGTGAAATGTTTGTGTGAGTCTCATTCATCACAACAGGCATTTGTTGAATGTTTTAACATCACGAAGAGTCTAAATTAGAATATAAAATAGCAATTCAATGCGTTTTTGATTTATAATTTTGATTATATTTATGGTTGAATTTTGCTAAAACATTTTTGATCTGAGTTAGCTCCCAACCAGTAACAAGTTTAAATATTGCAGACATACCATAAAAGATTCAATCTGTTGACATATTCAGCTTACCATGCTTTCTGTGGAAAC